TCGAGCAGATGAAGGAAGGGTAGGAGGAGGAGGGGGAGGGGGGAGGGAGGGGGCCGGGGGGAGGAGAGGAGGAGGAGGAGGAGGAGGAGGAGGAGGAGGAGAAGGAGGAGGAGGAGGAGGAGGAGGAGGACGAGGAGAAGGAGGAGGAGGAGGAGGAGGCGGAGGAGGAGGAGGAGGAAGAGGAGGAGGAGGAGGAGGACGACGACGACGAGGACGACGACGAGGAGGAGGACGGGGCCGACGGCGAAACCGCTGCCCCGCCCACGGCCCGAGCAGCCCCCGCGGTGGAGCGGCCGAGCGCGCAGCCCGCGGCTCCGCCACGCCCCGGGCCCCCGGGCGCCCCCCCAGCCGCCGCGCCACCGCCCGCCAGCAGCAGCCACTAGCTAGAGGCCTCCTAGATGGGGTCGAAATAGATGGGGTCGAAGGATCCCGCCGCATTGCCGACGCATCGGCGATGCATCGCCGATGCATCGGCAATGAACCGGCGACGTCGGCGATGCATCGGTGACGTCGGCGTGGAGAAAAAATCGCGCCCCGCATGGAGCCGCATTGGCGATCGATGCATCGGCGATGCGGCGCGATCCTCCGACCCCATCTGCTCGGACTCGTATGGGTGGCCTAGAGTAGCCCTCCTCGGAGGCGGGGCACGTGCACTAGTGCGGGGATGGACAGGTCAGAAAAGTCCCAGCTGCGCACACCAACTCTGGGCAGGCTGGAATCGCAGGGGGGCTCGGACATCGAGCGACGGCAGCAGCAATCTGCCCATGGAGACCGAGGGTGGTGAGATCCCGGGCAGCCGAGAGGGGGCGGGAGCAACTCCCACATCAGAACTGAGCCATGATGATTACGAGCATGCACGCATGTCGAAAGACCAACATGCTACACACAGCCGCGGAGAAACCACATCTATAGATTACAATCCACAACTTGAACAGCACTACGCATACACAGACAACGATGAACAATATTCCAAACCATAATGTATGTTTGATGACAATATACCACTTGATACTTAGAACACCGCTAGTTTGAGGACGCCATGCGCACTGTAAAATACGAATGCGATGATCTGGTCTTATCTGCCTCGCGACAACATCGGTTTCTCACATCTCATTCGGCTGCAGAAGGCGAGCGGCTTCCCCGCAAGACCGGGGCGCTGAACACAAAAAACACACGCACAAGCGCCTGACCGCCTGGCAAGTCCGAGGCCCCAGGGCATCGCGAAAGCAAGAGCCAAACATCCACATCCCGACGGCCTCTGTCGGCTCGAGATCGCGGCGACGGCCGAAGCGACCCTGCATCGACAAAACGCTGGTCACCTCAAGTCAGGGCTTCTCGGAGCCAGGGACTCAGAGGATGTCTCAGGCGAAACGGGCCTGAGCACATCGCGGACTATGTCTTGGGACCAATATGAATGAACACGTGTCAAGCGAAACGGGCCAAAGCACCTCAATTCTGGGCATCTCGCAGTAGCCCGGGGTTCGGAGGATGTCTCAAGCGAAACATGCCTGAGTACCTTGCGAACCACATCTTGGACCCCCTCCCCCGCCGCGATACTCGAGAAACTCCCTCGCGGCCAGCCTGTAGACTGCGAACGAAATGGAACTCCACCTCCCCCTCCACCTTCCCCCCACCCTCAACTAGAACCGCGCGCCCGCTTCGCGCGCGCTTGGGTTCTAGCGCAGTGCTTTTCGGATCGGCTCATTTCATGCCTTGCCTTACCTCGTCCTCCAATATTCCTTAGACGCGTCCTTCCTCGTTAACCCTCCAGTCTCTCTCGGTTGTCCTCGCTTTTCGTTTCTCGTTCTGATCGACGGCCTCTTCTTGCCTGGGATTATGCGGTGGCTTCGATCTGTTCAGGGCCGGCGAGGGGAGATATTGAATATGAAGGGGGCTGGCTGTAAGTGTGCGGGTCTCTTGTGGATCTTCTTGTTTGGGCTGCCTTGAAAGCCTTGGGGCCCGCTCGGGGCCCTCTTGGGTTCTTCTTCGAAGTTGTGGGGCCGTGTCGAGCCTCGGCGCCATGTGAAGATCTCCCGAAGCAATCCGATGAAGACGAGCGTGATATTTACTGAAATTGGAGAAACCTGAATGGTTTTTGCGTTTATGGCTCTCTGGGGTCATTGGGCCTTTGGGAGCTCCACTGGGGCATCTTGTGGCCCCTGAGGGCCGCCTTGAAACATCTTGGAGCGTCTTTTACCACTATTACTAAGGGGCCATCCTGGCGGCCAGCGGGCGTCCTCCTGAACCAGCTCGGAACCCTCTTCAGGCCGAAAGAGTCACCCAAAGACCCCAACGCGGATCCCGGAACCAAGTGGGGGCCAACTGGGTTGCGACGGGGGGAGTTTGGGAAAAGTGGGCCACCCCAGGTCCCCTCCCCCATGGGCGGTCCCGTCGTCTTCGTCCGTCGTCCGACGTCCGTCGTCCGTCCGCCCGCCATGTTGCTTCTATATGATAGTTCTGCCGCGGGGATGTTCGCTCGCTTGCCATGCTCTCCCAGCAGAAGGTGCTGGGGAGGGAGCGGCCATCGCTGTCCATGAGCTGCTGCCTTGGGCTGCAGCTCGCTGGACGCACCTGCGTGAAAGGCGCTGCTACCCTGGGCTGCAGTGCCACGCAACTAAATCAGCCAACATAATTTATTCCACACGGCACTTGAACGAGAGATGGACATGCTTGGTTCGCGCATGAATTCTCTGTCCTGAGTCCTGAATGAATGAACATCTAACCCAAACACAACATTCCCGGATTTCTTGGGGGCTTCGAAACTCCTCGAAACCGTCTTGGGGGCGATCTGGGGCTCTGGAGCAGCCTTGACGGTGGTTTTGGGCCGATCATGGGAATACGCCTGGGTTGTGGGCCAGAGGCCTCATGGACGTATCTTGTGTCTCGTTGGAAGTCTTTCGGAGCACAATTTTGAGCCCCTTGCGGGGGGCTTCGGGGCCTCTTGAAGATTACTTTGGGCACTGTTTGGGGTTTCCTGGGGGGGCCTCCCGGCCTTCTCGGCGGCCTCGTGGACCGTCTTGAAGGCCTTTGTGGCCGTCCAGGAGCAGCCTTGAGCTCTCTTCGAGCGCTCGTGGGCCGTCTAGAGGCCATCTCAATACGCTCAGCAGCCATCTTCCAGACAACCTGGGGCGCTTTGGGAGCCTCTTGGGCCAGCGTGGGGGCCTCTGGGGGGGTCCGGCCCCCTTGTAGGACGCCTTGGGGCGATCTTGAGGGCCTCTTGGGCCGTCTTGGAAGCCTCTTGGGATGTCCTGGGGCGATCTTCTGGTTCTCTGATGCCGTCGTGGACGCTGTCCATACCAAAAAGGAAAGATGCTAAAAATATGCGCTTCCCCGGAGGATTGGGGCGATGTTTGTATCTTGCGGCCCTCATAGGTGTCCTCTTGTAGCCCTCTTGGGGGGTTTGGGGGGCCTCTCGGGACGTCTAGAAGCCATCTTGGGCGTCTTGGTGAGGATCACATTGGACTTCCGTCTCCAGGCGTTTCGAAGATTGGTTTTGGTCGTGCAATCATGTGGGGGGAGGGTCTGGGAGAGTCTACGGGGTTATCCGAAGCTAGAGTCGTTCACCTCAGGCAGAGCTCACATGAGGGGTAGCAGCAAGATGTGGATGGTGAGGAGAACAGCGTCCATCTTTGGACGAGCCTAGGCCCCAGAGACTCATCGGAGGGAGGAAGGCAGTGTCTTGAAGAAGAGACGGATCTCCCGAGGTGTCTTGACAATGTCGGCTTCCTGGCGGCCTCTGGGGAGCCTCTCGAGGGCGCCTTGGGGGCGTCTTGGGAGCGCCTTGGGGATCTCTCGAGGCCCCTTGGCGGGCCAGCTGGGGGCACCTTGGCAGGGGCCTCTTCGCGGCTTCCTCGGAGCTCCTTTTGGACAACTCGGAGCCCATGGGGGCCTTTGGCATCTTGTCAATTGTCTCCACTGAGGAAAGAGAAAATCCACGTCGGCCCCTTGGACAGGGTATAACAATAGCGAGAACCGTGCTCGCATTCAAAGGGAGGCCGACGCGGAGGGAAAAACAGGGCCGACAGCTGTAATCTACGATCACGTGTAGAGACTATCGCCTGAACATTGTGTTCCCCAATCATGCGGGATACCTGTGGGCTGGGTCAACTACCGCAGCTCGCAGCGCAGCCAACGCGGAGGGGAAAACAAGGCCGACAGCTGGAATCTACGAACACGTGTAGAGACGATCGCCTGAACACGGTGTTCCCCATCATGCGGGATACCTGTGGGCTGGGTCAACTACCGCAGCTCACAGCGCAACTAACGCGGAGGGAAACACAGGATCGACAGCTGGAACATACGATCACGCGCAAAGACGACCGCACAGCGCAACTCGCAATGAACAAATAAATACATCAAACATTGACTCCCCTCGGCAACGATATCGGACCGACAGCAACGCAGGCTAACAATCGTTGCCGATCCCCAAACAATCGTCAGAGAGCTGAGATGCACGCGGAAGCCTGGAACACAGAGTGGGGTGATACGGATCAAGCCCAAAGCGTAGCACAGCAACCGAAGAAGGAAGGAGATGAGAACGAGGGCATCCTGAGCCAAGAGAACAGCGCTGGCACTTGTCCTGCTGCTGCCGAAGGTACCCTCAGCTAAGACCATCACGATCAATAAACGAGCGACAAGGATGTGAACCCACGATTCTGGATTCCAAAGAAGGTACACGTGCTGTCACGCTAGCAGGCGGATAACATGTAGTCAAAGGAAAGAGAGCACAGTCCCTCGAAGTCCTAACCACAGAACAAATTTCCAACAGAGGGAGCCCTTGAACACGGCATAACAATAACGCAATAACCGTGCTCGCCTTCAAGGAGAGGCACTCAGCAGCACGCCTGTCATTGGTCAACAGGACGGGATGCTTCTGGCTCCGACGGGTGGAGGCTGAGCACGGCCGCCCTGGTCTAACCATCCCTTTGAGGCCGCGAACGGCTTAGAACTCTTCCTCTGCCGACCCCCTTTCCTCTCGTTGTGCTCATGCAACTCCTTCCCCCCCTCCCCCCTCCTGCACCTCGAGGATAATTCACGACACGCTGGAGAAATCTCACCCGCGATCTGTATCGTCAAAAATTTGGGCGTCCGCCGCAGCTCTGCAGCGAGCTCCTGGAAAATGCCTCGGGAACACGGGAACCTCGATTGCGGGCCCGCGGCTCCGCGGTCTGAAAGCCAGCTGGGCCGCTGAAACGGAGCAGGGAGGAAGAGGGGGAGGAGGAAGGAGGCGGAGGAGGAGGAAGACCACCACGCCATGTCACAGGGTGACGATGACGGTCGGCTTGCCGATGTCGATGGGCTCTGAATTGTCACCGCAACCGCCGACGCCAAGGGCATCCGGCAGAAACACGATCACCCGCTTGATCGGCGACTTGGGGGTGTTCTGCTTGCCCTTCCCAGAGGTCTCCGATCTCGGGATCACGCTGCTGAAGATGGAGGAGGTCTGCATCTCTGGCATCGCGCCTGGTAGGGTAATCGGTGGACTTACCTGCGCTCGCGAGGGGAATGTGTAGAGGGAGCGGCCCGAACCAACACGGCTACGGAGGCCTCTTGGGGTCTCTGGGGTGTCTCTTGGGGACGTCGTCAAAGCCTCTTGGGCACCTCTTTACGGTCATGCTCAAGCGGCGCCAGACGGCGAGAAAACTATACCCATACATACATATATCGTAGCACCCCGCAACTGCGGATAAGAGTGAGGGGGCGGTCGGGGCGTCGGCAGTCTGCGAGATTTTGGTGAAGCCCGCCGCAAGCGCCAACGTTTCACAAATTATACAACGAGCCCGCCGCAGGCGCCAAAGTTTTCTTTCAAACAAATGTGGATCGGTCGCGGGGGGGCCGCGGGGGGGTCGCGGGGGAGTCGCAGGTGGGTCGCGGGGTGGGTCGCGGGGTGGGTCGCGAGTGGGTCGCGGGTGGGTCGCGGGCGGGTCGCGGGTGGGTCGCGGGTGGGTCGCGGGTGGGTCGCGGGGTGGGTCGCGTGGGTCGCGGGTGGGTCGCGAGTGGGTCGCGGGGTGGGTCGCGGGCGCAAATGTGTTCTTCAAACCAATGTGGATCGGTCGCGGGTGGGTCGCGAGTAGGGTGGGTCGCGGGGTGGATCGCAAGTGGGTCGCGGGGTGGGTCGCGGGGGTGACGACGACAAAAACCACCAGCAACAACACTTATCTTATCCTCATGCGCGATGCTTCCACACGCAGCATGCGACCATCATGATAACCATCCCCATCATGGGAAATTATGGTTCTATCGCGGGAGTTCGTTATTCCCACTCCTTGCAAACACCTCCTCCGATTAAGTTCACCAATCCCGCCTCGAGAACACATGCCCGCGCCCTGCTGCGCCGATGCGAGACCGCCAGTGGAGCCCCAAGCGGACAAGCGGACAAGCGGCCTGCAATCTAGGTGCCGCGGGGGCACTGCAGGGTGGCGCCAGGGCGCCGCTATTGGTGAAGCAGTGCGACAACAACAAGAGCCGATGCAACAAATTGTCTGGAAGGAGGACAAGGTGGGAAGGAGGAGGAGACAAACGGCGACAACGACACTATAATAGTAGCCGCGCAACCATGGCCACTCACCGTTGTGTACCCAGACTCCGAATTGTCCCACGTGTCCGTCCCCGCTAGTCGTAGTAACCCTGCAACGTGTTGTGGCGCGTCTTCGACACGCTGTCTGATGAAGGACCTGGTCTTTTGCTGTCCAACACGGCGTTGTGTATGTATGTGTGCCGTGCCCATTCCCTCGCACAGTTGGTACACATTTCTTGCAACCGCTTCCATTTACGACTATGGTAATCCAATACGCAATCCCCTATACTCTAGCTTTTTTTTTCGAGGCGTTTTGATAATCATGCGAAGCATCTGTCTCTGCGTTCTGCGAATTCTGTTTTCCAATTCCTGAGTAGCCGCCCATGCCTCACATCCATACAGCATTGTCGGCGTAATTGTTCCCCGGGAAAGCCGGGTCCGGTTATTTACAGAATATATTCTTCCCGTGAGCTCCTGTTTGATTGAGTACATGGAACTGTCTCCACGCTGCTGAAATTAGGTTTTCCACCTCGGTCTTGCGGCACTCGCTGAATTGCAGCTTTCGGCCGAGGTACTTGGTGGAGTGGTATGGCGGCAACACTTCGATCTTCATGTCGTGCACTAGTACGTAGCTCGGTGGTTGTCTCGTTCGTTTGTGCCGGTGTCCGTTCTGCAGAAGTTTGGTCTTGTCTGGGTGAAGGTAAAGGCCTGTCCCAGCCGCTTCTGTGCCGAGGTCGGAGAGCATAGTTGTAATATCGCTGATGGAATGCGCGATCAGAAGGATGTCGTCGGCGAAACGTAATTTGTGCAACAACTCGCCACCATGAACGTGTAATTTGAATCCATACCCCCGTGCTGCCCACTTTTTCTTCGCAGCTCACATAACATGTTCGGAAACAGAAGTGAAAAGCAGTGAGCCTAGTGGGTCGCCCTGTTTCGTGCCCCTCTCGATGTCGAGGTGTTTGCTGCGACGGTCGGTGTCGATGGCTCCTGTTTGTTGGCTGTGCGACTTCTGGAGCAAATTGATATACGAAGTCGGAACTTGCTGTTCTCTGACAGATTCCCATATGCCCGCGTGCGTCACGGTGTCGAAAGCCCTCTTGAAATCGACGGCTGCGATCCAGAGCGGGACCTGCCACTCATCTGTGACCTCGTGCAAGGTCGTTGCTGTGGAAAAATGGTCGGTTGTTCCTCGCTTGGGTCTGAAACCCGCCTAGTCAGGGCTTTGCTGGTCGTCCAACGTATCTCCCAAGCGGTTGCATAAGAATTTGGAGAACAACTTATACAACAGTGGTATGCTTGCGATCGGTCGATAACTCTCCGGGCGCATCGGGTCTCCACTCTTATGCCGTATCTTTCTGACAGTGTGTTTCCAACTGGAGGGAGCGGGTGAGTCAGGACGCAACATGTTGTTGAACATGTCCAAAAGGGCTCTCTCGAGTGCTACCCCCACCTTCTTTCAACATTTCTGCTGCGATCCCCTGTGTGTCCGGAGGCCGCTTTGTTTTCAACTGGCGTACTGCTTCCGACACTGCACGGTCAGTCATGGGAAGAATAGTATCTGCTTCGTTTGGGCCGTCGTGTTTCAGATATTTCTTTCTGCGCGTCGCTGTACAAATTCGCATAGAAATCTGCAAACACGTCTACCACGGCCTGTCTGTCGGGCTGTGCTGGCCACTTGCATCCACCATGCCTGGAATCAAGTCCTTCTCGATCGATAGCGACTGTGCGAACGGCTCGTTTGACAACCCTGAATTCCTTGCGGATGCTCTTGTTGATGTCTGCACGTGCTGTCGCGTTGGTGGTTGGTGTCCCGTATTTTCCGGAGTACTTGTGCAACAGTGTTGGTCGTTGTCGCTTGCGTGGTGCCGAATGCATCGGATTGCTCTGTTTGTTGTTGCCCCGTTAGCGCCTCGGCGATGGCGACCTCGATGTTCTCGCACTTGAGCAGGAGTCGAGCGTCGAGCAATAGCTTGTGCATTTTGTCTGTGAGAGAATGACGGTATGCAGGGATGTCGCGTGGAGGCCAAGCCGGGCGGTTCCGTCGTGGTCGACGCTGTTTCCCCTGTCGAATTGGTGCGTCTTGCTGGCTGCTGTGCCGGCGTCGTCCAGGTGGTCGGAATGTTAATCGTAACGCTCTGTGGTTGGAGCCGAGGTCGATGTCGCTCGTTGCCTCGCAGTCGACAGCTGTTCGCCATATGGGTTTGTTGGTCAATATGAAATCAATTTGGTCTTGCAATTTTTTCGGGTGATGTGTGCGTAGTCACGTTGCATGCGTGCTTGTAGAAGTACGTGTTCGTAAGGCGTAATCTTTCCGTGGGCGCCCAATTCTGCAGCCACTGGCCTCGCACGTTGATGCCGCCATATCCACATGGCCCGACGGTGCGTCGGTCGTCCTGGGATTGTCGCTGCCCCACCCGTGCGTTGCAGTCCGCTCCGATGACGAAGGCGAGCTTCGTCAAAATGGTAATTCGGTGGATTTCTTGCAGAATGCTGTACATTGAGTGAATGCTCTTGTCACTGTATCCGCTATGTGGGAAACAAGCTGAAACGATGCGCAATCTCTATCCAAACACCACAACATGATTTCGTTGACTGGTTGGAAACAGCGGATACCATTCGCAAGCTTTCTGGGCATCAATATGACAATTCCACAGCGTTGTCCTTCGAACCCAAACCCCATGAATAGATGCCCCTCTTTTGAGGCCCAATGTTCGTGCTTCTCTTGGCACCATGTCTCGTTGCTTGTAATAAAACCCCAACATGTACCACGCAATTCTTGGAAGAACTCCTCCACGCGATCTTCCGTCATAAGTCCACGTACGTTTTGGTGGTATAGTTAAGTCGGGCGAGTCCCACTACAGGGAGATTTTCGAAGAAAAATAAAAAATACTCAACAAATGCCCCCAAATGGTCAAAACATACTTAAAAAATGGCCCCACACTATTTTTTAACTATTGTTGAATAGTTTTCCTGTAGAGGGACAGGCCCGACTCGATGGTGCAGTGTAGATGCCGCCCCTGGCGCGGAGCTCGATCGGTGGAGGCGTCTCGGTGGAGGTCGCAGGGTGGAGGCGGAACCTTGTAAGTCGACGGGTGCCTGCGGGGGCCAGGAGTCGGAGTCGAGAAGCTAAAGATCACTTGGTTGTTGAAGGGGCCCAAGGACACACAAATAAACATACACAATAAATAGATTCCCCGTATTTTCCTATTTTTGGGGGGTTTTTGTCTCCCCCCCCACTGCCGATATTTTCCTATATTTTCTGGGGAATCGACGATTGATTGTGTCTGTGTGTTTTTTCCCTCCTGAGTTGTGGCTAGAGGTCATCGCCTGGAGGTCGACGGTTGGAGGTGGAAGATTGGAGGTCGATAGCTGGTGGACGTTGGGAGTCGGGCGCTGACAGCTGTAGGTCGGCCAAGCGAAGCTGGGAGTCGGTGAGTGGGGGGTCGAACGCTGGAGGTGCAAGACTGTAAGTCGACAGCTCGTGGTGGATGCTGAAGTGTGTAAACTTGGCTCTGGAGGCTTGTGGATGGAGACTGGAGGTCGAAAGGTGGAGGCCGGCAACTGGAGGTGGAATGTTGTAGATCGATAGCTGGTGGTGGATGCTGGGAGTCGGAAGCTGGCCGTTGGAGGTCGGCATGGTGAGGTTGGAGGTCGATAGCTGGAGGTCGGACGCTGGAGGTGCAAGAATGGAGGTCAAAAGCTGATGGTGAATGCTGAGCGACGGCATCCGCACTCTGGATGTCGGTTGGTGGAGGTTGGAGGTCGATAGGTGGAGGTCGGAAGCTGGAGGTGGGAGGCTGGAGGTCGTAGGTGAGGTCGGAAGGTTGCTGCGACGTCGCGGTCACTGCCCGCAGTGAAACATTCCGTGCGTTGGAGCCACCCTGGCTGAAGTCGGTTGCAGCGCACCTCTGCCGTAAGATGCATAGGCGGGACGTCGCCGGACGCGGCGTGGTAGGCTCGTCGTCCTCCTCCTGCTGTCCCACGGTGGGGCGGGGCGTGGGGCCGGGCAATATGAGGACCTCCGCTGCGCGTGTCTGTCGGGCCGCTGTTGGAATCCACGACGAGTTTAAGTCGGGCCTGTCCCCCTAGAAGGGAATTTTCGACGAACACATAAGAATGCCCAAAACATACTCCAAACATGCCAAACAGTACCCAAAACATATTCCCATATTCTTTCAAGCAATATTTTTGGTGTACATTTTACTGTTCGTCGAAAGTCCCCCTGTAGGGGGACAGGCCCGACTTAAGACGAGTTGCAGGCCACGCGCGTTGAGGAAGGAACGGGGGTCGGGGCGTTGAGGCTCCTGTGGAACTTGAGGTAGTGAAACACATTCGATTCGAAAAAACAAGTTGGCCTTGACGAGGCGGTCCTGCTAGATGTACCTGTGTGCCGCCGCCTGTCTGGACAGCGGGCGGGGAGGATCCTGTAGGGCGAACTTGCACCACCTTGCGATTTCCTTTGCGAGCGTCAGAACCGCCGTTTTGAAGCAACCGCGAGGGCTCACTCTCTGAACTCTCACAGATCATCACTGTCCGTGTCGGGGTCTGGGTTGGTTTTGGGCCGAAATGCGCTTAATGAATTGCTGGCATTTTCCTCCACATATTTGACCACTGCAATAGTTTTCCACTGTCCGTGCATACCGTGCCATGCCAATGTTTTTACCATTTACGGTGATCATCCGTTTGCCCCAGCAGATCTGCACAGTGTCGTTCCGGTGGTCTGGATCTTCGCCTAGATGAAACTTCGTGTAGCCCAACCGTTTGTCTGCAAATTGTTCCTTGGTGGCTTGGTTGTTTTAAAAGAGTATACCGTCCAAACATGTTTTGTCCTCGAGAGCCTGGCATTTCTTGTGAGAGGCAACTTCTTCCGGTATGGATTGAAACGTAACCAGCCATCTTCGCAGGGTGTTTGAACGTGTTCACGCTGAGGTTGCCGATGTCGCCCTGGATCTGCTTCAATACGCCCTCCAGCTTGGACACCAATTCTTCTGATGCCATCGGCTCTTGGAACCCCAGTGCAACCATCTGCTTGTTCTTGCTCTCCGTGTCTGTGCGGTCCTGGCTGTTGTGCGTGACTGTGCCGATATTTTCTTTGATCATACTGATGTCCTTCTTCAACTCTGCATTCGAAGCCTCGACCCGTTGCACTGTCTCCTTGACCTCCGTAGCGGCTGACATTGCTTTCTCTGCTGTGGCACTTGCTGTGTTCGCCGCAGGCTTCATCTGGGCTGTGGCCCTGGTGAGGTCCGACAGCACTTCGTAGATCCAGTCGGTCTTCTCGTCTTTCGTCATCTTGCGTTGTTCGTTTCAATTTTCAATCCTTTGGGCTGTGGCGAGCTGCCACCAGGAACTTCGGCTTTGCGTACACCGCCTTCGACATCACAGGCCGACTCGAATGAGTTAGTGATGAAAAACGAAGGTGTGGTCTCAAATGCAACCCGCTTCTGGTCCCTTGATGATACTTGATCCTTGATCCAGTGGAGCCCCAGCCCAGGGTAAAGCACAAGGAAGTATCGAGCGACAGGATTGGCTTGGTGGGGATGGGGGCTGTCGGCGGCGAGGCAAGGACCTGGCCCTGAATAGAAAGGGAGGAAGTCTCGGGAAGGGGTGCTGTTGTTGCTGGCAGCGGCGCCAATACAGAAGAGTAAGGCGCCAGTCCAGCGTGAAACAACACGAAGTCTCGAGCGGGAGCGCTGATTCTGTTGGGACGGCGGTTGACGGCGGCGAGGAGGAACACCGCCTTGAGTAAGAAGAGAAGAAGTCTCGAGCGGGAGCCGCGGTTTTGTCGGGACGGGGGCTGTCGGCGGCGAGGAACAGCACCGTCTTCAGGAAAAAGGGAGGAGGCCTCGAGCGGGAGCGTTGTTCTTGCTGGGGGCGGCGCCAAATCAAAAGAGAGTTGGGCGCCAGTCCAGCGTAAAACGGGAGGAAATCTCGGGCGGGAGCGCTGGTTCTGTTGGGGCGGCGGTTTTCGGCGGCGAGCAAAAGCACTGGCTCTGAAATAAAAAGGAGGAAGTCTCGAGCAGGAGCGTTGTTCTTGCTGGGGGCGGCACCGATGAGAGAAAGAGTAGCGCGCCAGTCCAAGGTAAAACGGGAAGACGTCTCGAGCGGGAGCGTCGGCTTTGTTGGGGCGGCGGTTTTCGGCGGCGAGCAAGAGCACCGGCTCTGGGTAAAAAAGGAAATCTCGAGCGGGAGCGTTGATGTTGTTGGGGGGCCGGTTTTGGCGCCCCCCCCCAAACCGCTCGGGCGTGAGCCTCATTTTCAATGAAAATGTAGCCGGCGCCGAGGCGAGAGCGCCAGGGCGCCTGGGGTGGGGATCCAACAATAATAATTGTTTCATAATTAACATTCAACAGCAACAGCAACAATAACAACAGCAGCAGCAACAACAGCGCAACAATCAGAATCCTCACAACGGATTCTCACTTCAGCCACGCACCCAGGGGCAATGAATGACCGTTCGGCCCCCTCACTCTGACATACATCAATATAGTTCTCTATGTGTTGAAAAATGCGATCTTCCTGAGAAGCTTCTCGGGGACCTCGTGGGGCTCTCGTCGGCATTCCGAGGCCGTCGGGAAAGCATGGCAAGGCGTCTTGGAATGCTCTGGGGGCACTCTCGGGGCATCTTAGAGGGCTCGCTGTGCCGTCTGAAGCTACCTTGGGCCATCTTGGCGGGCTCGAAGGCCGTCTTGAGGTCCTCTGGACCAATCTTGAACCTTTCTGAAGAGGGCCCCCGTGGCCTGGGTCCCCCGTTAGGGTTCCAGACAACTAGCTCTGGCTCCCCGAATGCCTACGCCGTTATACACAGATGTGTTTGTGTATATGTGGACATGTGTGTACGTGTGCATACACGCATACGCAAACCCCACCCGATCACCACACACACACACACGTTCACCTGCACACAGAGACACACGCACACACAAACATACACACACGCCCGCACACACACACACACACACACCCACACTCACACACACACACACACACACACACAAACACACACACACACAAACGCACCTGCGCAAACGCACAAGTTTCTCCTCTAACGCTGTATGATCACGAACGCGTGGTGCGCTAACGGGACCCTTCAACATAGCTTACGAACGTAACATGTATGACGAATGCGCTCGGGAGGATGCCATGAGAGCCGGGCAACTGGCAAAAACTCGCACACACACAACCACAAGCACACACACACACACATACGCACACACGCCCACACACACACACGCACACACACACACGCACACACGCACACGCGCGCACGCACGCACGCCCGCACGCACGTACGCACGCGCGCGCGCGCACGCGCACACGCGCGCACGCGCACACACACACACACACACACACACACACACACACACACGCACGCACTCGCACACACGCACGCTCGCGCACCGCCGCAAAGCTGGGATCGGCACGTGCGCCACGACAGGCACTGCGCCTTCAGCCGCACCAGAGAGATCAGCTCACGGCGTGTGCGACCATCCTAGCAGCTGGGGCAATCAGCCACCGACGCAGCCAGCGCCGACCATGCCGATCGGCTACATGACAGGTTGGGCATGAAGTGGAGGCAGCGGCCCGAGGTGCGACAAAGCCTGCGGTGTAGCTGGGTCCCAGCGCCATCACCTCCGTTTGTTCGAGCAACTTACCTCTCCAAGGCCCCGGGGCAAACTTGGCCTCTCTCCTCGAGCACAACCTCTCTTCTCCCTCTTCCCCCCTGTGAAACCCAACGTCGGGAAACTTATGCAGCATCGCGTCAAGCCAAAAAACCGGAACTCTCAGCCCCATCTTGCTGCAACTCTCGGAACCAGATCGCTCCGTGAAGGTCCCGGGCCCCAAGACCCAGTGAAAACGCCCCGAATGAAAAAACTACAACGTAAGGACATCACGGTCTCGCCCCCCTCTGGCCCTGATCCGCGGCGTCCGAAAGGAGGGCGTCCAACAAGAGGTCGGGTCGCAAATGGTGGCCTGAGGCACGGGTGCAGCCGGGGGGGGCCGAGGTACGTATTGTATCCAACCCCTGCGGTGGAGGTCTGTCCACAAGAAGCCTCCCACACGAAACTTAACCCTGAGACCCCAGGACGCCCATGGATTTCTAGTGTGGGGGCGTCGCACTTTCCATGGCAAGAAAGTAGAAGCCCGAGGAACCCATGGCACCCTGCAGGCAACCAGGGTGCTTCCTGGCATAGGTCTCGACTGTACGTATCAACCCGTTCTTGGCCGCCCCCGACCCAAGGTACTCTGCACGCACCCCTGCTGCCGCACCAGCCCCGCTGGCGGCAAAGGGGGCGGCAGCGCAGCGGGTCGCGGCGTGCCCGAGCTTCGCGTTGTGCCGCTGCACCTGCGCGCTGGAGCGGGGGCAGCTGGCTCGCGATGAACGTTGAGCAGGGACCGACCGTCCAGGCATTTCTGTAGGCCTACCACGAGATGTTCGTAGAACAGATATGTGAAACCAAAAGGTTCTTGGAACATTCTATGGTGGGCCTACAGGCGAGCAGACACGCTTCTCCACTGCTCGGGAGCGGGCCGCGGGAGATGGGTACTCGGTGCGCCGCGAAAAATTGGCAACCGACTACCCAGGATAATAAAGCCTACCCCACTTAGCCCCTTCAGTTTTTTGTCCCGTGTCACAAGGATTGAACTGTGGAGAGGAAGCGGAGGCCGAACATGATAATCCTCGGGGGAGGTTGCGAATCGAAGTTGGTATCATCTCATACTGACGAGCAACAACATCGAAAACGCCGAGCATGGCAATCCATTTCAGCTTCCGCAATCATGAGCGCGTGGCAAGGCCACGGGACTCTCGCCATTTCAGTTTGCCCAAATCACGAACGTGCGGCAGGGTCAAGGGATTCTCACTTTCTCGGCCGCACCGGCGATGCATCGCCAATTCCAGGTCGATGTCCCCCCCCCCCTAATGTCACCCCCCCACATCGTTGCCTCCGAGGGCGCCCAGGCGGCGACCCAGCACGTCACGGCCCTGCAGGGGGTCGTGGCCCAGAGCGCGAGCGCGAGCTCGAACGAGATTCTCGAGCGCATGGCCAAGCATAACAAGAAGATCCTCGACAGGCTGTCCTTCGTCGCGGAAAAGATCGCCATCGCCGAGACGCGCCACTGCCAGTCGAGCCCGCAAGGCACTGACGCAGCAAGAATGACGGCCTGCTCTTTCAAAGCGGACAGCGCCTTGTGGTCGGCGGGAGCCAAGCAAGCCGTCCTCGAAATGGTATACAACGGCGGTTCTCTCAAGAGCATCAAGCACGGGCGCATCTTCAACGAGAAAGACAGGAGGCGCGTCGAGCCGGCGGCGGCGGTGATCTGCAAAACACACTGCGAAAAAGACGCCCGACTCTACGACATCTTCGAGAATCGCGGAGAGCCGCCCGAGATAATCTTCTGGCTTGCGCCGAGCTTCAAGTCGAAGCTGCTCGAGTTTGCCAAGAAGAAGGACATCGAACTCGGCACTGAGAGCGCTCAGCGCCTCATCTTCGGCTCCCAGGCCGAGCGCGTCGGCAAGGCCTTCCTCGATATCCCCTTCCGAGCTCCTCAACCTCCACGTCCTCGTGCTACCGACCAACGAAGGTTTCGAGCCCGTCGAAACGACGGCTGAGGAGTTCTCCTCTGGCGCGTCGAGCGATCAGCTCTCCGAGATGACCCCCCGCAGGGCCAAGCAATTCGTCAACCGGCGCCGCGACAACGGCGCGGTGCAGGGCGTTGGCCGCGCGCGAGCCACCGCGCACGCGGTCGCCAAGTGGCGCTGGGGCCTCCAGCGCGCTGCCGACGTGGCCAACGAGCTCCAGGAGCGGAGCTACAAGAACAAGCGCTCCAAGCATGACTACGCAAGCACCGAGAGGCAGCTCATCTTCGAGACAATGGCTCTCGGCCAAAACATCCATTTGAATTTCGAAGGGTTCGCCAAGATCCACGCCGACTACGACAAGATGACCTACCAGCGCGAGTCCGAGAATAACTGGGCCGACGCGAAGGCCGAGCCAGAGGCCGACAAGTCGAAGCCGAAGGGCGCCCGAGTGCCGAGCGGCGGCGAGCGGGGGCGCCTGGAGCACGAGCGCCCCGAGCCCAGTGCCCCCATGCTTTTCGCCACGAGGGTGCGGCAAGTGGGTCTCGAGGCGCACGCTCGAGTCCCGTCTGCTTTCAGGCTCCAAGCGAGCGTTCGAACACGCGCGAGTGGCGCTCCAAGCTGCGGGGCGCTACCCCCCCCCTCTCGCCGAGCGACCCTCAATCAAGCATCGAACAATCAAGCGATATCGTTCTTCCATCCACGGATCGAGGATTCGAGATCTTGAGTCCGAGCATCTTCGAGCACCTTGGATCCTAGATCCGAGGATCGCCACGCTTGGACTCGAAAATCTCGGGTTCGCGATCCGAGGATCGAGGATCGAGCCTCGGCGTCGATCGTCGCCGTCGCCGTTCCCGAGCCCAGGCCGCCACCAAGGAGGCTCGATCCTCAATCCTCGGATCGAGGATCCGAGGTCCTGCTTCCAAGCAGATTTGAGCACCTTGGGTCCTAGATCCGACGATCGGCGCGCTTGGACTCGAAGAACTCGGGTGCGCGATCCGAGGATCGAGGACCGAGCCTCGGCGATCGCCGATCTCCCTCGTCGCCGTCCTCGGGCCCAGACCGCCATCAAGCAGGCTCGATCCACGGATCGAGGACCCGAGATCCTGGCCCCAAGCATCTTCAAGCGCCTTGGGCCCTAGATCCGAGGATCAACACGTATGGACTCGAAGATCTCGGGTTCGCGAGCCGAGGATCGGGGACCGAGCCTCGGCGATCGTCGATCGCTCCCGTAGCCGCCCCTTGGCCCACGCCGCCATCAAGGAGGCTCGATCCTCGAACCTCGGATCGAGGATCCGAGGTCCTGGTTCCAAGCATCTTCGAGCGCCCTGGGTCCTAGATCCGACGATCGGCGCGCTTGGACTCGAAGAACTCGGGTTCGCTCGGGTTCGCGATCCGAGGATCGAGGATAGAGCCTCGGCGATCGTCGATCCCCCTCGTCGCCGTCCTCGGGCCCAGACTGCCGCCAAGCAGGCTCGTTCCTTCATCCTCGGATCGAGGCCCCGAGGTCTTGGTCATGAGCATATGCGAGCACCTCGGATCCTAGATCCGAGGATCGCCAAGCTTGGATTCGAGGATCCTCGGCCCTCAATCAGAGGATCGAGCCTCGACGCCTAGCGGAAACGCGCACACGCGCACACAGACGCGCACACACACACAAACACACTAACACATACACACACGCACACACACACACACTCGCACACTCGCACGCGCACACCCGCACACACTCACGCACACACGCATACTGACACACCCACACTCACACAACAACAAAAACACAAACACCAGAGGCCACAACAACAACTGAAACCAGCACAACATCACCACAAACAGCAACACAAGCAACCGCAATGACAACAAGAGCACCTGCACACACACACACAAACACACACGCACGCACTCACACGCACAAACACACACACAATAACACACACACACACTCTCTCACACGCACACGCACACACAACAGCATCACAAACAACAGCAGCCACAACAGCAACAAGACAAACAACAACAGCACAAACAACAACTGCCACAGAAACACAAGCCAAGCCCACCGCATCGCCGATGCGTCACCGAGGCCCGCCGATGCATCGCCGGGGTGGTGCGAGCTATGTGGTGCACTGGGCGCCTGCTCTGCGGCGCAAGCACTGTTCGGGTCAAGCCCGCTGAGGACGAAATATTATCCGTGGCCCAATTTAGGGCCAATCATTCCAAACCCCTTTTCTGCCCCGGAAATGAGGATGGCCGAGTCGGACAGCGGCGATCGCCGCGCGTTTTCCTGGCCTTTCGCCGAGCGGTCGGACGGCGAGAGCGTCGTCTCGCCGACGTTCCTCGCCATGCAACAGCAGGGCGACGAGCGGGCGCCAGACGGCGCGCAGACCGAGAGCTCCGAGGAGCTAAAGAGCGAGGGCGGCGCCGAGCAGCGCGAGGAGACACAGCCAACCACGCTGGAGGAGGACACCAGCAAGCCCGAGGACAAGAACCTGGACGACAGGAAGCTCGAGGACGAGAAGGTCGCGCTCGAGGTCAAGCTGGAGGACAAGAGAGCCGAGCAAGAAGTCAAGCTGGAGGACAATACCGTCAAGCTGGGGGACAAAAAGGACTCCTGCCAGCACGAGGATAGGAAGCTTCGGACCAACAGCAAGCTCGAGGACAACGCGCACTTCGAGAAAAAAACTCTCGGACAAGAAGCTTCAGGACTCCAACAAGCTCGAGGGCCAGGGCTTCGACGACAAGACGCCCGAGGACAAGCGGCTCAAGCTGGACTCCTGCGAGGCCGAGCCCGAAAAGAAGCGTTGCCGCCTTGGCGCGGTTTCTACGGCGAGGCAGCGCGATGCCTCGCGCTCGGTGCCGAGCTCTGCCTCGCCTCCTGCCCCGGCTCCAAGTCCTGACTCAGCTTTGGGGCGCCTCGCGAGCCGCTGAGAACTCCGAGCGAGGTGCCTTCGGGCAGAGCGAAGGCGAGGCGCTGGGAGCTCTCAGCGAGGTGACCACCGGCCTCGGAGGACACCGCAGAAAAAAAAGAGACAGGGGCCAGAGCGACATGACCGACGACAGCAAGAAGAAAAGCACACGCAAGCAACGGCAGCAACGACACAAACAGCAGCAACAGCAACTAGCAAAACAACAGCACCACCGACAACGGCACAAGCAACAGCACGCACAACAGCAACCCCAGCAAACAGCGCAACAGCAAGCCACGACAGCAACAATACATCAACAACAACAACAACAACAACAACAACAACAACAACAACAACACTATCACTATCACTAACACTAACACTCACAACAACAGCAACAACAACAAGCGAACATCAAGGAGCTACCAACGACTTGCTAAACACATAACGTTGACAATAAGGCAGCAGTAAGCAGCGAACAAACACAAGCCGACAGCGGCCAGAAACCTACAACTTTCCGAAACCACGTTGGCTCGTGGATTTGTGCTTCGAGCCATCGCAGCGTTGCAGCTTTGCCCGATGACCGCGCCGACGAAGCAGACGAGTTTGTCGAGCCTCTGGGGCCCAGCGAGCTCGCCTTCCGAGGTCCCGAGCTCTCGCGGTCAGCTGAGAACCTCCCCCATGCGAAGGCAGCGAGTCTGCTGCGAGCTCCTTCAAGGAACTCGAGGCCAATAGGCTCGAGGTTGAGTAAGAAGACAAAGATCTCTCCTTGCCTTGTTGTCCTCCCCCTCCCTTCCACTCCTCCTTTTTCCCCTTTTCCTCTTCCTCCCCGCCCCCCCCATCGCGCCCCGGACTTGCTCG